CCATACAAATGTGGATTCCTCTGAGAGTTTCTCAAGGGTTTACTCACATTTAATCTTTAGTATCATTTGGTGATGATCCAGCAAATTTTTTTATATGTACTCTCCAACCCCTATTAAATAGTTAATAAAATACTTAAAAAATGATATCACATTGTTATTTATGTCAACAATATTCTCTGTAATGCTGGCCTCTGGGTAATTACACATTCCATTTCAGTAGTGTCTTGGAAAACACTACTTGGAAAACACGCTTGGAAAACGCTACTGCCCTTTCGTTGTAAACGTGTGTGCATACACAGGCCCATTAATGTGCTTTGCCGTCTTATTTATGCATGTTTTTGTGTTAATATTCTGAGTTGGGAGCTTCTTGAAAATTCTCAGCTAAATAGGTCAGACATGACCATCTGTTTTTCTCTTACTGAAATCACCCAATCCCAGTCTCAATCATAGCTTGTCTTGGCCATGGTCATATTTTTGGTACCAAAAAAAAAAAAAAAGAAAAGAAAAAGAAAAAAAAGGAGGTGAGGAAGGGAGAGAAGGAGGATGCAGAGGGAAAAAGGGAAGAAAGACTTTCTCACTGTAATATTTACTTGCATTGACACATCTTAGGTTGGAAACTTCCTGCATCCTCTCCTAACACTTAAAGAAAAGGGATCACTAATTTCTTGCATTATCACCACTGAGAAAAATAAGTCATACAAGCACCATTTTTTAAAAAAACATAATACATGTTTGCCTGGCTTATTTTCTAACTTAGTACATACTTATTTTAGAAGACTTTAAATAAAAATCAAAATAAGAAAACAAACAACAATAACATCAACTCTGCAATTCCACACTCAGAAGATCTACCTTCCAACCCACAGTCTTCCACTTAATTACTGGGTGATTTAGGCAGATCACACATTTTCTCACTATCGGTTTTCCCATCTTCGCAATGTAAATAATACGCTGATATCTCAAAATCGCTGTTAAGGTGAAATGTGATAATAAACATACCCAGCAGGATAGTGGGTACCTAGCAGGAACTAATAAATGTTAGTTTATATTTAAATCAGTTGACAGCCTCAGCAGTGTCTTCTGAATAAATTGCTCTAACATCGTCAACATCTTCAGGAGGAAATCTTCTCACATGATTGAAAAACAATCTTGCACTTGTTTTACAACTTTAGGAATAACATAGGATTAAAAAAAAAGAGTAGAACTAAGTGGTTGGTGTGAAAATCTGGGTTTCAGTGAAAGCAAACCATAAGACTGAATGTGAGAGGCATGGGCATTTTTGCAATAATATCCATTATTTAATTTTTTGAATGTTCAAAGTGAAATTGAGTTGTTGCATAGACTTTATCTCAGAGACCCATAACTCATGGAAAGTCAGCAGCATTTACAGATTGAAAACTTAAGGCATTGTTGTAGGTACATTTTTTCCCCCTAATTCCTTAGGCCCCAGGGCTGGGTACCTGAGGACTTACTGGCAGTAAATACATTTCTCACAAGGAAGAAAAGAGATAAGCAGCTCCTAAAACCCTCTTGCTTACCCAAACCTGTGATTTCTAGATATGGCTCATCTATGATTCCGCTCAGTGGGTGGCATTTTATGATAAAGCAGGGATGGGAAAAATACGCTACCTTTCAATTTTCAGATGCTCCGGGTTGGTGCCACTCTCAGAAACACAGAAATCAATTGCAACGGGAAAGGAATCACGTTAGGTAAGATTTGTCCTTAGCAAAGGAGCCCATGATTTCAGAAGTGTTTAAGAACCTTTTAAGACTTGAAATTGTGAATAAT